CAAATCGAGAATCTTAAAAGCAGCAAAAGATAAGCAGTTATTTCCTACAAGGGAGTGCCAATAGGACTGTAAGCTGATTTCTCAACAGAAACTATGCAGGCCCGAAGGGAGTGGCAAGAAATATTCAAAGTGATGAATACCAAGAACCTACAACCAAGATTACTTTATCCAGCAAAGCTATCATTCAGAATTGAAGGACAGATAAAGAGCTTCACAGATAAGGAAAAGCTAAAGGAGTTCATCACCACCAAACCAGTATTATATGAAATGCTGAAAGGTATCCTTTAAAAAGAGGAAGAAGAAGAAAAAGGTAAAGATAAAAATTATGAACAACAAATACATATCTATCAACAACTGAATCTAAAAATCAAGTGAATAAAAGATCTGATGAACAGAGTAAACTGGTAAATATAATAGAATCGGGCAGAGAAAGGGAGTGGACTGATAATTCTCAGGAGGAAGGGAGTGGGAAAAGACAACAAAAATTGTACATCTATGGACGAGGACAGTGGGGTGAGGGGGGGCAAGGGCAGAGGGTAGGGTGGGAACCAGGTGGAGGAGAGCTATGGGGGGAAAAAGAGGGACAACCAATAATTTGAACAATAAAGATTTTTTTAAAAAAAAAAAGTAAAAATGGATTTGATGATATTTGTAGATGTGTATCGCTTAAGTCTAATAAAAGTATATCTGAACTAAGAAATTTCTGTTAGAGGCCACAAAGTATTAAATGACCCAAATGCCATTTTATGATGGGTTAATTTTAAAGCTTCCTGATCCCATATTAAACAACTTAAAAGATTGTATTTAATGTCAGAAATGTGAAATACGACATTTTGATGTTTCATTTGATGTTAAATTTGAATAATCATATAAAATCTAGCTGGCAAATTACAGGCAGGTCTATGAATGATGTCATGTGGTTCAGTGTCATTTTGTTTATGATGTTGAGGAAAAAAGAAATAGATTCCCAGGGGAGTTGGCACGGTCTCCCTTCCCCATTCTCTGTGGGTTTTTTCCAGGTCCCTCCTGCACCTTAAAGATGTCATGTGAGGGGAATCAGGTGTCTCAGTTGTCCCTGGTCTGAATGAGAGTGGGGTGGCCTTGCAATGCAAGAGCATCCTGTCCAGGGGGTCCTGTCTGGTGCTCTGAGCTGCTGGCTGGGCTCTGGCCACCGCTGGACCTGAACCAGTGTGTTGGAAAATAATGACCTTGCTTGTTTTTATTACTCTTTCTTAAATGTATGTTGAGCTCACATTTATTTCAATACTTAATAATTTTGAGGAGACACATTTCGGTCCATAACGCCATTGTGAAATGAGTCATTTTTGTAGGGTTTATTTAGTTGTTTGCTGTTGGTGTTTTTACAGAGAATCCTAGTTCCTTGACCCAGCAATCGTACCTTTCACCTTTATTGGCTTCCTGGCTGGAGGGACATTTCTTTATTTCTTGAAGGGCAAGCGAGAGGTTCTTGGGTACAGCCTCGAATTTCCTCGTGGAGGTCTCAGCAACAGAGGCTCCAAGGCTGGCTGCCTCTGCCAAGCGCCTTCTCGCGCGCATTGTCTCCTTCAGAAACCGCTTGTATCCTCCCAGCATTGTGGGGTTCATGTGTTTAAACTGTTGACTTTTATAAAATCTCCAAATTCTGTATTTAGAACATTTCAGGTATGCAGAATGCCAGCCTTCTGTTCCCTGTCTTGCAGATGGCTCTGTGACCCACAGTCCCCAGGTGTGCTCTACAGAGTACAAGCTGCTACTTTAAAAAAGAGTTCATGTAGCGTGGGGACCTTCGCAGGGAAGGGCCCACACAGTCAAGATTCTGAGAATTCTTACAATAAAAACACCTGTTTATGTTTGTTAAAAACTGTTAATCTCCCCAAAATATTTGAAGATGGATATGTAATACCTATTGACATCTTGCAGAATATGCTTTGAGGAAATTATGCTCTCTGACCAATAACCAGAAGAAATTCAGTGTTTACAAACCTCACTCCTTGTTTTCCACAAGCTGTCTTTGGCCTTAAATTTTAGCACATAATGTTGTTACTCGCACAATAATACACAGTTATGGAAGCTACATGACAAGGGAAAACACACTAGTTATGTTTACTTTAGGGAACTCCACAGATTAATGATTATATGTTAGGCTCAGAAATACATTACTCAGTGAGATCTGTTTAATGAATGACAGGACTGTCCCCAAGAACTATGTAAATGCAATAGGTGTTTCTGTGTGTTCTTCAGATCTTTGCAAGACTTTATATCTTGTGCTTGTGCCCAATTTAAGGGCCCTCTCTACCTGTTCAGCCGACTCTGGGCTGTGCACTTAGTTCCCACCTCTATTCTCAGAGAAATGCACAAACATGTAGCTGTGCAGAAAGGTCCATGCTGTCCTGATACGGTAGCCAAAGGGAACTAGCAACACGCATTAAAGTGAAGTGAAACTGAAAGTCAGCTCCTCGGGTGAACTAGCCACAGGGGCAAGTGCCTCTTGGGTTGAACAGCGCACGTACAGAACGTGTGTAGTATCACAGACACTTCTGTCCGACAGCGCTCCCTTAGGTGCTGAAACTTTATTCTCGAAACTACTCTTGTGTGGCTCTGTTGGGCTGTCACTGTCTGATGGCAAGTAGGAGACGCTGGTGGCCATTTCTAATCTAAAGTAATGGTTCCCATTCAAGGCAAGTACCACGGCCTGGTCCCAGTGGCTTGACCAGGAGATCCCACATCTGATTTTCTCCTCTCCTGAGACTCCGAGACTTGGTTCTAAGTTAGCATATTGTTCTTCACTTTTTCCTTTCTAGGTGGCTGTGCTCAGTGTGAGTCCTAAGACTCTGTTACTTTCTCCTTAGCCACACCTCCTTTCACTATAAACACTTACATGATACAGTCAGTTAAACTACCCACCCTCTCGGGTTTTGGTGCTGATTCCAAGCTTAACTTTTCCCCCCCACTGCAAGTGATAGGGGTTAGAGGTCGACCACCCCCATGCCTCCCTCCCACACTGGACTTCAGGCCACTATCCTTGCAGTAGGTGAGCATGCAATAGAGAGGATCTTTTCTGCAGGACAGTTCTGTTAGATTCAGTTGATTGTGGCTAATTTGATAGTTTAATATAATAGCCTTTCTTTTGTACCTGTTAGTGAATAATAACAATTCTGTTTGGTATACTTAAGATACTCTCAAAAACTATAGGTTTCCTATTCCTCTCCTCCCCAACACACAGCACACACACTTTAACATCACCTCTTACTGACTTTGCAAGTCAGAGCATGGTTACGTTTTGAGAGTGGAGAGCAGGGCAGTGATGAGAAGGAAAAAACTGAGACAAAAAGCCTTCTCTGAGCCCGAATAGGAAAGTGTCTGCCTGACGGGTCTCTGCCTTTGGCCAATCTAGTATATGAGAATACTCAAGCGTTTCCCCTGGAACTGCACCTTTTCTGAACTGTGTTCCCCTGGAAGATTTGTTGTTATTGTTAACTCAGACTCTGGTATTCTTACTTTTTCTCCATTCTGATGTGAACTTCAAAATGGGAGGCAGCACCCTCAACATCTTTTATTTAGCTTCTGTTAGGGAATCAGTTCTGGTTAAATCTTGTCTAGCCCCCTTCCATGGCCATAGGTCTCCTGTGAGGGTGACGGCCTCCTAACCTGTGTCAGGCATTACTGCTTCGGTGGCTCTCCTGGCACAAGGTGGACTAGGCTGGTGTTCCTTCCACTGAGGCCACTCTGAGGGGCCGGAGTGACAGTGACGAGCAAATGTCACATTGCCCTCTGGGGTCTCTGATAAGATCCTGCAGAAGACCAGGAATGCAGTCTCCTCATTAATGAAAAAATACTGATTTGGTGGTTTGGAGGCCATTTTAATAAGACTTTTAGTTCCCTTTGGTTACTCTCAAATATCTTTCTTAAATATGTATTCCTTTGTTAAACTTTCAGGCAAATTGAAAGCAACAAATCCCATCAGCTTCCTATGGGTGAAGGTCCCCCTTGCATTTTGGACAGGGCGACATAGGGACTAGTGCATGCTGGCCATCTGTAGAAAGGTAGTGCCTTTCCTGGGAGGTAATCTTTGTTTATAAAAGAAATCTGTCCTCCCCCCGCCCCCCCCACCCCTCGCCTCTCGGTTTCTTAGGGACCTTCATCCCTAGGTCACTGGTACCCCTTGTCCAGATTTGGGCCTGTGTTGTTAGTTCTTGTTCTGCCCATTTAAAGAAAATGTGGTTGGAACTGTATCGTAAACTTTCTTTGTTAATCCTGACCTGAGGATATTATCTTTTTCCATTGATTTTTAGAGAGAGTGGAAGGGAGAGAGACATTGGTAAGAGAGAGACACATTGATTGGTTGCCTCCGCACATGCCTCAACCAGGGCCAGGGATTGAGCCTGCAGCTGAGGTACATGCCTTTGACTGGAATCGAACCTGGAACCCTTGAATCTGCAGACCGACGTTCTTTCCACTGAACCAGACAGGCTGGGCTATAACTTTTGCCATCACCAAAATCATACTAGAATCCTAACACTCATGAGTTTCCTCATATGTCTGTAAATCCTACTATAGCTAAATTAGTTGATTCTGTGAATAAGGTAGAAATTTTGAATATTATTCAGTAATAAGTAAAAATAGTATTCTTTTGAGACCTTACCTCTGCATATTTGAGAAATTCTGGCTCACCTATATGTGTATCCCAAATTGAGAACAAGATTCTAGAAATAACTTTACTAGCATGATTTACACAGAAAAATTCTTTAACCTATGAGATGCTTTGATTATGTCACCTAAAAATAAACTGATGAACAAAACAGGTCCAGAGGTATGGCTGCATGAATAAGAATAACAGATCTCAGTGGGAGAAGTGGGAAAAATGGAAGAACGTATGTACATAACCTATGGACACAGACAATAGTATGGAGAAGGTCTTGGGTGGACCACGGGGGTGGGAGGAGTGGGGCAAAAGGGAGAAAATGGGAGACATCTATAACGCTGTCAACAATTTTACAAGAAGGAGCCCTCGCCAGCGTTGATAAGTGGTTAGAGTATTGGCCCGCAGACTGAAGGCTCGCAGGTTCGATTCCGGTCAAGAGCACATACCTCGGTTGTGGGATCAATCTCCAACCCCAGTCGAGGCACTAGGGAGGCAACCAATCAATGTGTCCCTCTCACATTGATGTTTCTCTCTCTGTCTCTTCTCCCTCCCTTCTACTCTCTCTAAAAAAATCGATGGGAAACATATCCTCGGGTAAGGATTAATAAAACAAAACCAAAAAAAAAAGGGAAAGATTGATGATAAAGAATGTCAATAAACAAAAGATCAATTGTTTTAAAAAATTTTAAGGGAGATTATTTTAAATTAATACAATATTTAAATTGTTGAATTAATGTAATAATTAAAAATTAATTTCAACATGAAATTTTCATTCAAAGTCATTGTTTTTCTTAGTTTATGTGTATAACCAAACTCAATATGGGCTCTTTCCTAGGAGTGGGACGGTCCATGGAGGCCAAACTGGCATCTTTGGGAATCAAGACTTGTGGAGACCTGCAATACATGACCATGGCAAGACTCCAAAGGGAATTTGGTCCCAAGACAGGGCAGATGCTGTACAGGTTCTGCCGAGGTTTGGATGACAGACCAGTTCGAACCGAAAAGGAAAGAAAATCGATTTCAGCTGAGATCAACTATGGAATAAGGTTTACCCAGGTACTGATCACTTCATGGGTTTACCTTAGGCTGTCCTTTATGTTTTCACATTGTCTTATCTTGTAACTAGACCAGACTTGGTCTTGACCTTAAGTCTTCAAATATTTGCTATCCCTAGAGCTTGTAGAATCTTTTTTAAACAAATGCTTAGCAAAATAGTCAATAATGTGTATGCATAATGTTGGAATTGTTAGGTCTATAGGAAAATAATGTGGGAGTTTTCTGTGTATGCCTTTCCATAGCCCAAAGAAGCAGAAGCTTTCCTTCTGAGTCTTTCAGAGGAAATTCAAAGACGGCTTGAAGCTGCTGGCATGAAGGGTAAACGCCTGACTCTCAAAATAATGGTACGGAAGCCAGGGGCCCCTGTAGAAACTGCAAAATTTGGAGGCCATGGGATTTGTGATCACATCGCCAGGTAAGCTTATCTTAAAAAGGATATTGGGTGTTAATATTTCAGTGCAGGTTATTATCTATACTAGTAAAAGGGTAATATGCTAATTAGACTGGATAGACCCGGCAGCACCGCCCAGGGTCCTGGGTGCCTGCGGCCAGCCAGAGGGAGGGAAGCCCAGGTCCTGGTTGCCTGCGGCCGGCCGGGGGATGGGAAACTGGGTCCTGGGGGTGGGAGCTGAGGCAGAGGCAGTTAGGGGCAATCAGGCAGGCAGGCAAGCGATTAGGAGCCAGCAGTCCCGGATTGAGAGAGAGAGGTCTGGCAGTCAGACATCCCCCAAGGGGTTCTGGATTGCAAGAGGGTGCAGGTTGGGCTGAGGGACCCGACCCACCCCGCCCATGCACGGATTTCGTGCACCAGGCCTCTAGTATTTAATAAAAACCAAGGAAAAGTATGAATAGAAATCTGTAAACTCTGATGGTATGTGATACTCTGTAGAGGCAGGCTCAGCCTGGGGCCATCTTTGAATTCTGTTGCTTTGCTCAGGGTCAGCCTGTCCACGTGTTCCTGACCTTTGGCGGCCTAGCTTTGGGGTCAGGCTGTTGATTTTAGTGCAGGGACAGAAAGGACAGGAAAGGCCTAACACCTGCACCCACAGATGGTTGTGGACTTGGGGAGAGGGGCCTGTTGGGAAATTTCAATATAGTCATTCAATAAATGAGTTGAATGAGACGTTTCCTCATTGAGAGAGGTCTCATTTCTGTTCATGAAAAGATTAATCCTTGTAGTCTCTGAAAACTGGTAGAACACATTTTAAAATGCGTTTTTTTAATGTGGGAGCTACAAGTATAAAACTTCAGTTAAGAGCTGAGACTAGTATGAAAATATTTCGTTTTTTGCACATCACTTTATGCCACTCTGCACACTGTTTTATATCTGCTGGGCAACCACAGCTTTAAGACTTGGGTTCCTGAAAGCCACATATATGTAAAGAAAGAGTTCATGCCAAACATGATTACAGTCACATTTTTTATAGAGATGCTGCTGAGGGGGACAAGAGGATGCTGTCAGCCACAAAGAACTCCAGCTTTATCATGAAGGCCTTTGTTTACCAGGAAAACAGGTTACAAATTACCCATTGAACAACGTAATTTATGAAATACATTTTTATGCAATCGGTAATTTTGAACTCTGTTTACCTATTTTAATGAACCTTTAATTACCTATTTCAAATGGTAGTTTGTTATTCTATATAATAAAACGGTAATATGCAAATAGACCCATCTGATCGGGACTGAGTGAGATGGGCCAGACATGCCCTGGAGCCCTCCTGTGGTCCCTCCCTAGCCTGATCATGCACTGGTGGGGTCCCTCAGCCTGGCCTGCACCCTCCTGCAATCCGGGACCCCTTGGAAGATGTCGGAGAGTCGGTTTCAACCTGATCCTGCACGCCACTCCCCTTGGGAGGGTGCCAGATGCAGACTGATTGGGTGCGAGCCTGTGACAGGCACAGTGGGCCGGGATGAGCGGGAGCTGCAGGTGGCGTTGGACTGCAGGTTTCAGCTCGATCTCTGCAGGCCACCCAGAGGGACCCCACCCATGCACGATTTCATGCACCTGGCCTCTAGTTATTTCTATAATAAGTTAGTTATTAGGACTCTACTCTGGATATAATTTTTTTTAAACATGGTTTCTATAGGAAAATCAGATCCAGTTTACAATAATACATTTTCTGGGAATGTAACTTGGAGCTTTATTTTTTCAAGATACATGGAAAGGAACATCCAAAACTGAAATAATTCTTTGGAAGGGGAACTGGTAGCAATTTGTTTCCTCTTGGCATGTCCGCACTTATAATGTCATATCGTTACTTAGCAATGTATGTTGTGGTATATTCAGCAGTGCTTAGGGGCTCCCTCTGTCTAATCTTATTAAGAAAATCAGCCTGCTGATCATTCTCTTTGGAAAAACCCAGATTCTCCAGAAATCTAATTACAACATTCAAAAAACTGAAATTGATATTTTATTCCCCCCGACTCAGGATAATTATTTGGCTTTTTTATAAGCATGTGTCTATTTGCTGCTGTTGGTATTTGTTTCTTTTTTTGTCCTGAACTTTTTTTTTAAAATATATTTTATTGATTTTTTACAGAGAGGACGGGAGAGGTATAGAGAGTTAGAAACATCGATGAGAGAGAAACATCGATCAGCTGCCTCCTGCACACTCCCTACTGGGTATGTGCCCGCAACCAAGGTACATGCCCTTGACTGGAATCGAACCTGGGGCCTTGAGTCTGCAGGCCGATGCTCTATCCACTGAGCCAAATCGGTTAGGGCTGTCCTGAACTTTTAAGAAAAAATGTTTTAGGAAAATCTTAAACATATAATACAAAAGTAGAAAGAAGAGTACAATGAACCCACATGGGTGCATCACCTGAGTTCAACAATTGCTGTGAGCTCCCCCTGCGGCATCCTCCCCTCCTCCCAATTATTTTGCAGCACATCCCAGCTGCTATAGCCTTTCCGCCACAATGCGTCCGTGTTTACTAGTACCTCTAACAAGATAAGAACTCTCCGCTTAGTAAACACAGCAATATAATGTACATTTTGCTGTGCTCTTAACATATTAACTTGCATGACACATGATGATGCACAAGAAGCACATAATTGATTGAAACAGTGCCATTTTATAAGCGTCACCAAGATATGGATGAGCTGTAAGCCAGCCACTGACCCCTAACGTTGGGTGGTATCCTAACTGCATAAGGAATGCTGGAGTGGGGGATTATGAAATACTATCATGCTGACTCTCTGTTTCCTCTAATTCGGGGATTGACAGATTACTTCCTGTGGGCCTAGTCAGCCTGTGCTTGTATATGATTCGTGTGAGGGAAGAATGACTTGTCATAATGGCTTGTGAGAAATGAAGGCTGCGAAGGGGCCCACCAGGCACCAGTGTTTACTGTCTGGCCCTTTACAGAAAAGTCTGGATTCCCGTTGTAGTCTGACTAAAGTGCTGTTCAGTTGAGTGAATTAAGAACTGGTCTCCACATCCCATGATTCTGTAATTTCTTGTACTTGGCCTTGACCACAGTCTTGTGGCTTCCAGACTCTGACACTAGATGAAACTAATAGAAACGACAGATTTTAATGACCTGTCAGAGCTACATGGAGACTGAGATCTGGCTTGATTTTCGCTTAGGAAAGTTTTTCCTACAACGCTTTTCCTTCTGGGGAAAGAATCTTGCCCCTTTGGAGTTCTTTTATGTATGTGGTTAGTTTGAAGTTTGTACATCTGTATTTTATCAAAGGAATACGTCTGATTGAAAAGGTGTCGCATGCAGTGCTTCCAGTGCTGTGCCCCCCCAGCTCCAGTGCTGTTCTTTCTACTCTTCAGAGGTTTCTCCTGGTATTTACCTCCATGCTTTTTGGGACGCACTTAAACTATTTCTAGCTTCTTTCAGTTTTGTAAAATGTTGACTGACTTTCTACTGTAGAAGAGGATTTATTCTCTTCTCTCTTCCATTGTCAGTGACTGTTTTCCCTGTATGCTTGTTTCTTTGCCCCATAAAGTCATCGATTTTTTGATCAGTCACGGTCTAGTGTTAAATTGTTACAGCCACGTACATACTGTACAGTGATCCACACATTTCCTCTCCTGTTGAATAGGTTTTTCTCGATTTACTGAATATCTTGTTGGCTTTTTTTGTGAATTGACCAGAGGTTGTTCCCAAACCCCTTCCAGTGTGTCTCAGTACATCGGCAATCTGTTGGTTTGACCTTTTTTTCTGGGAGACCTGTCTCTTGGGGTCCCCCAGCCTGCTACTCCTGGCTGATTGGTTCATCTCAAGACCCCCTGCCAAGCCTGCACTGTGTGCACCCCTGTTTCCTCCTCCTCCACCGCACTGAGGAAGAGTGCATGAACCTGTATGGCGTTTTGCTGGCTTAAAGGCTATAAACATAACTTAGAAGTCACTTTTCCAGTTTGTCAGGATTCCTACTGAGAAGTCCAGCCCTTCCTTCCGGAGCTCTCAGGACCTCTGTCTCAGGCCCTGGAGTTTTACTGTCTGCTCTGTCTCCTTGTGCCAGGGAGTTTGTCAGCATTAAATGTTTTGTTTCTAGTAACATTTTAAATTTCCGAGTGTTTTGTTTTGTTCTTTGGACATGTAAATATCCCTACTGTTTCACATTGCAGCATTGTCTCTGATCTCTTATATACTCATACAGTCCCAGGGTGAGTGTTTCTCCACGTTCCTTTGTTCCTGTCCTGGCTGCTGTTACAGGAGGTTTTCTCCCGGTATCTGTCAGGCAGTGCTTGGCTGTCTCCCACCTGGGAACTGCGAGATGCTGTTTGGTCCTCTGGACTCAGTGGGTCGCCTAGAGCTGTGGGCTTCCCCACAGCCGAGTGTTTGGAGGGGCTTGCTGTGGCGTTGCCACAGCCATTGGTAGTGTCTGTGATCTTTTCTGTTAGCTTACAGGTTCACCAGAATGGAGTCCTCCAGCTCGCATCTGGTTCCTCCATAGGAAGGGGGTCTGGTCTGGATGGGGAAGGGGGATCTTTTGAGGGAGGTGCCTCCTCCCTTAGCTGTGAGTGGCAGGCCCCTCCTAGGTGGTGAAAGGAGGGGGGCTCTCTCATGTACATTCTCATCCCCTTTCTCTCCCCTCCTTTCTTACGTACCTGGCACCTTTCCTCTGCTCTTTTCTGAGGGTCTGAGCCTGCTCAAGTTAGTGCCTAGCTGTGGGCTTTTAGCAGGCATTTGGCAGCTTACCATTTACTGATTTGCTATTAGTATTCTAAATTATGGATAACATTTTTCTTCTCTGATCCCCTCTCCCATTTCTATCTTTACGAGTTTATACCTTTAAAAAATTATTTCAAGTCACTTTAGTGGTGATTTGGAAAGAAATTAAGATAAACATAAGTTTAATTCACTAAGATCCACTAAAAATTATGCTTTTAATTTATTTTGCATTTATCTATGTGACATAAATTGAAGGTTATTATTAAGTAACAAATCAATGGAAATATTTTTCCAAATGGTTTCCGTGGAGAAATAGGCATGTGTCACAGATGAATGCATGATGTCCTCAGGTCATGGAGAAAGCGAACACAATGGACGCAGTTGGGCACCTCGAGATGCTGGCCGTGCTCCAGTCTGACCCCAGCATCCTAGTCTCCTGCCTGCAGACAGGGTGCCACCATGTCCCCCTTGTCATGGCTGTCCACACGTTTCTGTGTACAGAGCTGAGGGAAAGTAGGATTGTAATGAGCTTATATCCACATGTTGAGATTATTCAATGGCCTTACCTCAGACTAACAAAACTAGAGTCAGGAACCAAAATACAAGGATTCTCCTTTGCCTTCTTAACATTAACCATTCCGCTGCAACTTTCTTGGAACCTAAAACTTGTCTTGGTATCTAAAAAGCATTGTACTTAACATCCATGCTTTGGTTGCAACACAATATGCTTATATTTGTTTATGTATTAACTAGAGTACTTTTTCTTTTTAAATTCCAACTTACTTTTAGTTGGCCAGTTCTTTATTAGTTTTTTTCTTAAAATCCCAGTGTCCTATATGAATTTTCTTTTCCCCTTGCTGCCAATGTAATTAATTCATTTGGCCTCCGTGAGGGAAAACTCTCTCATTGGTTCATACTTACGGGAGCTTTTTGTGGCTTCCTTACACCTTCCTGTACCTCTGTAAGCAGTGCCCTGGAGCGGAGACACCGTGGGCGCAGGGAGCAGCTCCGGCCTGTAAACAGTTACTTCTGTCCTTACAGGACGGTGACTCTCGACCAGGCAACGGACAGTGCAAAAGTAATTGGAAAGGCCACACTGAACATGTTCCACACATTGAAGCTAAACATATCGGACATGAGAGGGGTGAGTACACAGCATTTAAAAGGCTTTCTGTAACATGGTTTTCACTGGAGGCCTGATCTGAACATGGCCATGGCGGGTGTGGGGTTTGATTGCAGGTTTCAGCTCCTTTGATAGAAACCGAAAAACTCAACTCTCGCCTGACCCGATCTCCTTTTTCAGAGAAAATCAAATTTGTTCTGAAATCTGTTTTCTGCCTAGAATAATTTGATGTCTTCAGTTTTTATAGCACTTTCTTTAATTAACCAAGGACTCATTTTACATGCATTGTCTTGCTTCCTATTCTTTTTTTTAAAATATATTTTATTGATATTTTACAGAGAGGAAAGAAGAGGAATAGAGAGAGACATAGATGAGAGAGAAACATCGATCAGCTGCCTCCTGCACGCCCCCTATTGGGGATGTGCCCACAACCAAGGTACATGCCCTTGACCAGAATCGAACCTGGGACCATTGAGTCCGCAGGCCGATGCTCTATCCACTGAGCCAAACCTGTCAGGGCAGCTTCCTATTCTTGTTTCTTTAGAAATAGATGGGACTGGGAGGAGTGTGAATCTGCAGTTCTTGTACTTATCGGGTGCTTTTTATTTATTTTTTATTTTTATGTTTTTAAATTTTTATATATATTTTATTGATTTTTTACAGAGAGGAAGGGAGAGAGATAGAAACATCAATGTGAGAGAAACATCGATCAGCCGCCTCCTGCACATCTCCTACTGGGGAGGTGCCCGCAACCCAGGTACATGCCCTTGACCGGATCGAACCCGGGACCTTTCAGTCCGCAGGCCGACGCTCTATCCACTGAGCCAAACCGGCTTCGGCTTGGGTGCTTTTTAATCAGAAACGTATGTCTGATGGGGGTGACTAGAAGAGGGCATCAGAAATGTGAAAACCTAGTGTCCTTAAAGATGAACCTTGGCTGGTCCTTGGCTGGTCCCGGTGTGCACGCATGCATGCGTACAGGGTAGTTACTGGCTGGCGTGGGCGTTGTGGAAGGACTGGGTGCTGCTGCAGCAGCCGTGACTCAGCTTCTCCCGGCTCTGCTGTGCTGATTCTGTGCTGGTGCAGGGTGCTTGTCTGTACAGATACCTGAAGGGTACCCGCTGCCCATCCACTCCCAAACCCATTTTAATATTTTTTATTTTATATGAAGTTTGCAGGTAGACTATCTACTTTTCAAAATTTTTTAGAATCTTATTTGAAAAACTTGGCTGGCAAGAACTTTGGTGAGATACAGCAGCTCCCTTTTTGGCTGTTCTGTGTGAAGAGAGCGTTGTAAATGGGTAGAAGTGGATACTGAGGTGGAGGGACTGTCTGCTCACCAGGTAGTATAGAAGCCATTTCTGTAAAAATCATGTAAAAGGCTGATTAAATACTTTGTTATATTCTAGTAACAGGAACAGAAGATGTAAAAAGAGGATTGGCTGAGAATTTTGCTCAGTTGACTTCATGTTTCACTTCAGTTTTCCAAAAAACATACTTTCTTCTGATTCTAGGTTGGGATTCAAGTGAACCAGTTGGTTCCTGCTCACCCGAGACTTCACGCCTGTCCCAGGCATGTGCCAGCTCAGCCAGATCCCGGTGGCTCCCACTCTGTCCTGGACCTCCTCCAGGTTCAGAAAGCAAAGACATCCTCAGAAGAAGAGCACCAGGAAGGTGGGTGGCGGGCTGGTTCCCCTGGGGCCGCTGTGCCCTTAGGAGAGCCGTTGGTTGTACGTGCTGTCTGGCAGGGCTGTGTGTGGCCCTTCAGACACAAGCGGGCATCAGGATGAGCATATTGAAGTCTGTAGATCAGAATGCCCCCCACGTGCCCAGATGAGCTGAAGAGGCTAGTGTATGTATTTTCTGTACTTTCAGTATTCCTGGCTGCCATGGATCTGGAAATCTCATCTGCCTCTAGAACTTGCACGGTCCTGCCATCTCTCGCTACACATCTGGCATCTGCTGTCAGCCCTGTTACGAGCAAAGCCGAGCCTTCGGGGAAATGGAATGGTCTACATTCTCCCATCAGCTTAAAATCAAAACTGAACCTGAGTATAGAGGTCCCATCACCTTCCCAGGTATAGTTCTATAATTATGATAAAAATGCAAAAGTAGTTTTACAGTAGGAACGACGTGTTTAATTTCCTTGCCAGTGTAGTCAAGAGAGAGAGGAAAGGTGACTCCTTAGGGCCACTATATACCTGAATTCCAAATGCCACATGATCAGTGTAAGTGAAAGATTGGTGCTTCTGCAGATCTGCAGCCCTTGCAAGTTGTGAAATGTTGGATGAGAGCCAGTTCCTTAACTGCCGTTGTGACAGTGTCCACCACAGGCACTTCTGAGCGGAGCACCAGCACTGGCGATCGCTAGAAGCCTGTGACAGCAGGTGCAGTTCACTGGGAGGGGTGACTTTCCTGACCTCGCTGCTCACTGAGCTGGTGTGCGCTGTTGGTGTGGCGTGCTGCTGCAGGCCCGATGGGAAAGTTGGTTTCTCTGCAGCACTAGGTGGCAGAGGCTGAGAACATTTGCCGCTGGCTGTAGGCTAGGGAAAGGGCAGGTATGGGCCTGAGTTTTCAGAAAGTTGCTCCCAGCAAGGTCAGATCGGCCTGCCCAGCTCATGAGCTTCGTGCTTCCTAAGGGATGTACGCGGTGGGTGGAGGGAGGAAGGACCTGGCCAAGGGAACAGGGATGCTAGTATGTGGGCTGGAGCAGTTAGCTTTTTTCTAGCTGTCTGCTCTCGGCCTAAAATTATTTGTGCTTGGGGGCATATAGTTTCCTATCTGAAAGGCCAACTTCTGGCCTTAGAAATATGACATATTTGCCTTAGGCAGTGGCCCGTGCCCAAGGGTGGGGTGAGATTTGAGCTTAACAGAGGCTCTTCCTGTGTGGACTGACCTGATCCTGTGCGATCGGCCAGTTGTGTAGTCTCATCTCCAGTGTGTACATAGGTCACCTTTAGAACCATACATTTCTACTCAGCCTTCGGAGGCAGGAGCTTGGGGGGGCTTTCCTGGCCTGGTTTCTGCACCTCACCTTATGTTCATTATCCAAGATGTTAAAGTTGAGGTGGAAGTGGAGTATGATCTCTCCAAACACATCATCTCTGAGCATGGTGCAACCTTGCACCCTGTATTTTACAGCTCGATCAGTCTGTTTTAGAAGCACTCCCGCCTGATCTCCGGGAACAAATAGAGCAAGTTTGTGCTGTTCAGCAAGGGGAGCAGCATGGTGACAAAAAGAACGAACCAGTAAATGGCTGTAATACAGGAATCGTGCCACAACCAGTGGGGACAGTTTTATTACAAATACCAGAACCTCAAGCATCTAACAGTGACATGGGAATCAACCTAATAGCCCTTCCAGCATTCTCACAGGTAAATTAAATATAGGGTCTTCTGCCAGTTTAAGTGGCTCCACGCCCCTGCTGCAGCTCAGGGCATGTCTTATTTCCTTTGCACCTCTAACTCTCATTAGTCTACACCACATCCATGGGGGGGCGAGGGGAAAGGGGATTGGCTCGTCTCATCATCATCTGTAGGACAGACGGAGAGCAGCCTCTCTTGAAGCAACTGAGGGCTGAGCAGAGGGAGGCTATGGCACATGGATGTTCACAGCTTCTACCCAGAACATCCTGTTCCCGTTTCACCGGCCAGAGACTGCTGATGGGCTGTACTTGAGAAACAGGGTGGAGAACTTAACTCGGGGACAGTGACACAGTCCAAGTCTGATGTCTCAGAAAACATCACACATGAGCTGAGCCTGTGCTGCTTGCCCTGTTTTTTAAAGTTCACTTCATACTCAGAATTGTATTCCTTATTCTCACCCTAAAACCCCATGAGGATTTAATGAGCCTTCATATTGAGGACCTGTTCTGAATTCAGAGATCAGAAAAGTATGATTTGAAAATAATCGATTTTGTGAAAAGTATAAGCCAGCTGCCATATAGGATCAACTTGTTTGACTTTGAACCTCTTTTCCACTAGGTGGACCCTGAGGTGTTTGCTGCCCTTCCTGCCGAGCTTCAGAAGGAGCTGAAAGCAGCTTATGAGCAGAGGCAGAGGCAGGGGGAGAGCAGCGCGCACCAGCAGGCAGCCAGCGCCGCAGGTGAGCCTGGGGAGTGTCCTCCAAGGAGCATGCGAGACGCGAACCATTGTGTGTAATGGCCAGAGTCCCAGCTCTTAGTCATGTTGAGAGGAACAGAACAAGTAGACAATATAGTAAGTGATATAGTCCTAGTTAGATTGGTGTCTGTAACTTCTTGACTTATAAACACCATTCTTGGCTTTTTTAAGCCTTTAAAAAAACAAAGATGCCTAAATAGGTATTTCCAGAAATCATCTTGCATAATTGCCAAGGCCATTGTCCTTTGAAACGGACACATAAAAGGATGTAGGTTAAAAACAGACTAGTGATGAGCCGCTTACTTGTTTCACCTATTTCTGTTTCACCGGCTGAGTTTTCATTGCTTCCTGTGAACAGTTATCAGTAAGCAGTGGTCCAATGGAGATGAGGAAGCAGGAGAGCAGAGCCTGCACCTCTCTGCCCTCGTCATTAATGCCTCCCAGTCTCAGCTAGAGGCTTTGTTGGGGGGTGCGTGTGCACAAGGGTTGGATTTGAGCGGGGGAGAGAATCCTTATTACTATCCAGATACCTTGAGGATCTTATGTTCATCTTTTAGTGCCAAAGAATCCGTTACTTCAGCTGAAACCAGCCTCAGTGAAAGAAAAGAAACGAAACAAGAAGAAAAATCCCATCAGTTCCCCCAAAAAGGTTCAGAGCCCTTTGAAAAACAAGCTGCTCAACAGTCCCGTAAAAGCTGCGCCGGGGGCCAGCGGGAGTCCCCAGAAGTTAATCGAAGGGTTTCTGAAACAAGAAGGTCCTGCCCCTGGAAAACCGCTGGTCAGCTTTATGCTTCTTAAACTTTGACCTTAAACTGAATCGTAATGCACTTAATGTTGTGTAAATACAGCACTTTTATCATTTGTTTTCTTAACAGGGAGAACTCTCTGCTTCTACTTCAGGTGTGCAGCCTTCCCCATCTGGCTGTGTCAGACCCCCAGCACCCAACCTTGCCGGAGCCGTCGAGTTCAGTGACGTGAAGACACTGCTCAAGGAGTGGATCACCACCATTTCAGGTCGGCTTGGACTGGCAGAGCTGAAAACTGATGTGTAATGCATGGTCCTGGGGTTTCAGAACATGACAGGCTCAACTATGTCGATGGTGCTCATTTTTCTAAATCTGATGGCCTTCAATCAGCCAAGCACCTACACTGGTTGGGGAAGGTGCCTCATAGCCCATTTGACTGCGTTGTTGTAAAAACGCAGTTTCGTGTCCTATGAACAGATAGGCTGGTTCTCATTTGAGGTCTTTCCCCTTTAGATCCAATGGAAGAAGACATTCTGCAAGTTGTGAAATACTGCACTGACCTGATAGAGGAGAAAGACTTGGAGAAACTGGACCTCGTTATAAAATACATGAAAAGGTAACTAGTACTTCCATCGAAGGTGAAATGGCATGTCACGGGCTAGTGGAGGGAGGGCAAGGCTTGAGGTTTTGTAGTTTCTGGCAGTCGGTTGCCTTAACTTTGCTCTCCAGGGTTAATGAAAAAAAGGTGCCTATTATTTAGAATCGCAGAGAAAGGAATGCGGTAATATTGGCTGGGTAATAAAGGCAAAATGAGATTGTTCCCCTTGGGATTTAACGTAGTTTAAAACCAAGGGAAGTCCTTTGGAATGTTCGAGAGTTTGCCAAAATCGATTGATTCTTCTATTAAAATGTTAAACTGATTCTGAAGGAATCATGAGTCTTTCCTGATGTTCCTCTTTCCCCACCTGTAGGTTGACGCAGCAGTCGGTGGAATCAGTTTGGAATATGGCATTTGACTTTATTCTTGACAATGTTCAGGTGGTTTTACAACAGACTTATGGGAGCACATTGAAAGTTACATAGTGTGAGCAGGGAGCGCGGTGCTCTCGCTGCTGTGCCATAAGTGCTTGTGAGGTATCTACAAAGTGCATGGTAGTAATGCTCTGAGTTTTCATAATTTCAAATTTCTTTTTGAGCAAGTGTTTTGTACATTTCTTTTCAAAAAGTGCCAAATTTGTCAGTATTGCATGTAAATAAATGTGTTCTTTTACTGTAGTATAGATTCTATTTACAAAATGTTTGTTTATAAAGTTTTATGGATTTTTACAGTGAAGTGTTTACAGTTGTTTAATAAAGAACTGTATGTATATTTTGTACAGGTTCCTTTTTGTGAATCCTTTAGGAACCAGACCCGGAACCGTTTGTTACACCACGGGCACTACCTGCAGCCCAGACGCCTGCTGGGCTCTGTAATTCCCGAGGGCCAGGCTGGGCCTGCTGCTTCCGGACAGTCACCCCTCCCCCCACGCAGGAACACAGTTAAGAGCCTGTTAACATCTTTACTTCTTCCAAGTGGAGGCGTTTACATGTGGTGAATTAGAACACACAATTTAAGATTAAGTTTCTCCTGGGAAAAATATGCCCCACAGGTGTTTAGAGGTGTTTTTCTTGCCTCTGTTGGCCCTTGAGGAACTGCAATAATGACGAGTGGTACAGGTTTTCAAATGTACATGAAGTATTTTTATGCTATGTTCTGCCATAACACTTTAAAAATATAGTTTACTTGGGAACATTTTCTTCAAACACCTACACTGACTTCATCCGACACTGTTATAAATAGGTAGTCAGACCCTTGAGATCTGTTACAGGAATTAATCTTTACTCACACTTTGCAGGAAAACCATAAAACTAGCTATAATCAGATTACTGGTATAAATGAGTCATTATGACGTCTCCATGACAATTTAGAAGCAGTGAGCCCAAATAGTTATCAGTTCCATTTTCTAATCAGAAAATGTATGCATGATAGACTTTCTAGGACAAAATAGACCAAGATTATTATATAAAAACTCCTAATGTTAACATGTGCTGGTACACAAGGTTGGAGACAGTTCATAAAATAGTTCTTATCTTTAAAAGAAAAGAGCTGAAGACTCATGGGGAGAGAAGCTACGCTAACACGAAGGCCTAGCAGAGCTTTCTAGTGAATGTTCTCTTTATTGGAGTTCAGAATTGTGCTGATTACAATGGACTCATGACTAGACAAGCAGTCAATAGCAGCCAGCTACACTCTACACCATGGTTTCACACAAAGCAGATAAAGAAATACCAGAATACCTAATTTTCTATTTTAAAAAATCCAAAGAGCATATGTGGATGGGGAAAAAAATGACTGTGGGAAGGAGATGCATAAATAAAATAGTATTTCTTACATCAAAAGTCCCAAGAATCACAAAATCTGCAGAAGCTTGGTTAATCAAACACTGCAGTACTGATTTAATCAGTATAAAATCCAAAGAGCTTTAGATCTGTAATAAAAATCCAAATTTGGGGAAGGGCAAACTTTAAAACAGCAGCAGGTAGGGGTGGGGAAGGAGCGGGCATGTGGACAGGCACCTTGGGGCTGTGGGACAGGTATTGACCACTGTCAAACCAGTGTAAGTTTCTTGGTTTCTCATGGAAAACATTTTATACATCTATTTTTTTCCTTCCGTACTTAAGTGCATCAGTGTCCAGATACGTCCATTCCACTTTTTATCCTGTTTTTCTTGCATTTACTCTAATTCTTGCCCCATGTGGAAAAATTAGATGATTTCAAATACTTTCTTCAGCTCCACAATAAGCTGCCAGTCACTCTTCTGCATCTCGTCTCTGAACCAGTCTTTCAGGGCATCGATGGACTGCCGGCTGATCTGCAAAGGACGAGGCGCAGGCGGCATTTAAGAACAGAATGTAACCCACAAGTGCCCAGAGAAGCGGGCGGCCAGCCGGCCACTTTGGACACCAAGGCGGTGGCACTGGGCGAGGGCTGCAGGGGGCCAGGAGGCCGCAGCCCGCGCTGTGAAAAGCTTTCTGGACGGCCGCTCGACCCATCAAGCCCGCCCACGACCAGTCCCCTCAGGTGCCCCTCTGGCAGGGACTTACCTTACTGACGAGAATGTCTGTAGCTTCAAAATGTCTCCCGTACATTTTGGGGGATTCACCAGGAATAGGTTCTATTTTCACACAGACTTCTTGTCCTTTTTTTGCAACATCCACTTGTTTGTGGTTTATTTCAATACTTGTTACTATTCCAATGTCCACAAACTGTCAAGTAAGAACAGGACAATGTCAGCAGAGGAATCCTGTCCGCCGCAGGCACCGAGCGCTGAGCCTGAGGACAACCAGTTGCTGAGCACGAGGGCCAGTGTCAAAGCCTCGGCTGCTGACCACGGCCACCGTCTTTCCGCTGTGGAATGTTCTCGTTGATAAACAGGTGACAGCACCGTCCCCCCTGCCCTTCCCGAGGTGGCCACAGCTTGGAAAGCGCTGTATGCCGTTTCCTATTTCTGTCCTACCTGTCACAGGACAGGTGCCCAAGGCATGAGCATGGAGTGGCTGCTGTGAGCAAGGGGTGAGGAGCTGGGAATGAAGTCAGGGAGGCTTTGCAGGTCCACGTAAAGACTTTGCATTTCGTTCTGAGGATGAATTATGAGCAGCCTCGTCTCAATTTTAGGGGTGGGGGGGGCATCCTCTGCTTGGGAAGGGAGTAAGGGTTGGCCAGTCATACAGGAGACAATAACTGCAAATAAACGTCCTAGCTCATCCCAGAAATGGGAACTACAGGAATGGTCTGGGGCAGCGTCCTGCACCAGGAGGAGGAAGAGATGCTTACGCTCCAGGGGCATGTGGCTCCCACAGACCAAAGTATCAGTGATGGATTACAACAGCAGAATTTACAGAACCAAACAATGAACACGAGAAGTGGGGAGAAGTGCTAAAAAGCAAAACAGATGGATACTTAACGAAAAGGTCAGGGGGGTGAAGGCTCTTTACAGAGGGAGGTGGGTGATAGAATCACAGTTTTGCAACCATTTATGTAATGCTTGCTTCTGGGATAAAGGCTGAGGAATAGGAGATCATAGGGAGTCAAAGTACCCCACGGACCACCTAGTAATGAATTACAAAGGGGAAGGGTGTGTCTCTAATGGAGAGGCTGAGCTGGCAACACACAGCTCCCCCAGCAATCAGGTCACTGACAACAAGCACCTGGACATGCTGGATCCTTTCCTTAGTCACAAAACCAGACAAATCCAAGTGGAGAAATGCCCTGGGAAGCAATGGTCTGGCCTCTTCAGGAAGGACGGACTGCTCCTGATGAAGACTGAAACACCCAACAGCCAAAGGCAGTGCACATGAAGAGATCCGGGACCAAGCCAGCAGGTGGGCAATTGGTGGAATGTGAAAGGGCTGTAAACTGCGGTCTTCATAACTGATGCACTGGTGCTAGTAACCAAGATTGACTAAGGAATGCGGACATTCCTGCAGCATTCAGGAATTACTGCAGTCTAAATTACACAAGGCAACAAGCTCTGCTTGGTATAAGTCTTTTGTCACCATTTCTGGACTCTCGTTTACTGCTTAAGAGATAGCACATTGTTCTTAAAGTACAGCTGGCACTTACATTTTTGCTGGGGACACACATGGGGGTCCCTTGTTTCACCTGACCTGCTTCTACCGTCACGCCCATCACGATGGGGTCTCGGGAATTGAAAATATACTGAGGGAGGATTTTCATCTTGCAGGGAAATACTGCTATGTGCCTGAAAGAAAAAAACAAGGATTTTAAAGTACAGTCACTTAAACTAAAAAGCACGTACAGATGAACACAAGGCTGCTTTCCCAGACCCCTGCAGGCAGCAGGGACACTGTGCTACCCAGGGGTGTGCTCAGGCCACAGCCACCTTCTGTGGTTCCTTCCTCTCCTCACCCTCCCCTGCCCATCAGGTCTCAGAGAAACTGCCCCAAGGAGCATCTGGTGCCCAGACTGAAAGACCTGAGCTACAGACGGCACTCAGGTCTTAGAACCTCGGTGGGAGCTACTCTCGGGTGGCGCATGGCCCACGTGAAGGCTGTTCTAGGGACCCGCAGGCATCAAACCACATCCTCTTCTCTGGCATGCTCCCAGATCAGACGATCCAAAAGCATTTCCCTGCTCATGAAGCAAAGCTTCAAGTGCTTTCACAGCGTCTTAAGTCCTAAGCCTTCTCATGTCAGGTTTCATGATCTACAGTGAACATGTCTCGGTCTAAATCCTTAGTCTGAGCTTTGAGAATATGCCCGATGGAGTCATCATCACTCCGAGGGCGGCTCTGCTCTGAGCCTTTGTGGTGTCTGGCTTGGACTATGGGAGCCTCCTGATGGGCCCTCATCCCTGACTCCAAAATCCATCCTATGCACAGGGTCCCACGTGCTCTGGGTCCTGCCGACTCCTCTGAACTCATCCCTCCAAGGGTTTCTGTGTGGGCCACTGCCCAGCGTTGTCCTCACTCGTGTCTGGGTGGCTGGATCGTAGCCTAGATCTCAGAGGTGAGCTGCCTCCCAGCTCTCCTCATCTGGGCCCGCCCCTGCTCTGTTTTGCTTTTTAGCACTTCTCCCCACTTCTTCTGTGTTCATTGCTTGTCTCTCCCCTGAGCTCCCAGAGGAAGGGAGTGTCAGGGGCACTGCTGACGCTAGCTCCTGCGAGCGCCTCTTACACTGAGCTCCTGGTCAGGGTCGGCTGCAGGCCCAAACTTTGCTCCCTGGAATGCCTCCCTCATTTCAGTTCCTAGGTTCCCCATTCCCGGTAATCCCGGAGGAGGAAGACAGTCCCCAAATGGAGCAGCTGCCCCCATGAAACAGACTTCCATTTGCCCAACTGGAAATGGAAGCCAAAACGTAAGCCAGGAAGGCTCCTGAGGGTGTGTCCCCACACGGTTGGGAGGGGTGGAGTGGGGCCACGGGTTGCAGCACTGCAGGCACAGCCTCCAGCAAACACCGTGCTTCTGTCCACACACCTTCCTGCTGTTGGGCAATTCTCCAATAGTCAACTTCATCAAAGACCAAAGTAGGGAAAATCACCAACTTACTTAAATTCCTCTTGTTTCTGTTTCTTGTAGTCTTGTCTATATTTTGTAAAGGCATCAAATAAATGATAAATAATTTCTGCACTAAAAATTCTAACTCCTAAACTATCAGCCATTTCTTGCGCATCCCGTTCGATTCTCACATCAAAGGCCAAAATGACTGCATACCTGGAAGTCAGAACAGGAGAGACAATGAGAACGGCGCACACCCCAAGGAGTGTGCACAGAAATCACGGGCGAAGCCTCCGACAGGAGGGCGGGTACTCACTGGGGGTCATGCTCCAACATCACCGAGGCCTTCATGACGTCTTTCTTATGGACGGGGCCGATGTTGATTCCTGCGTACTGGAGACAGGGTGTCCACACGTTACCTGACCACGTGGCAGAAGCAGCCCACCACCATCCACTACGGACTGCAGTCGCGTTTGGTTACTTACCGGCACTTCTGATGTTCTCAGAAACTCCAGTAGAGCTTCCAAAGAGCCCAGTGTCGACGCCTGCACATAGACTCCTTTTTCTTCTAATTTGATAGCATTTAGTGTCTGCTTTAGCTCATGGATCAATTCATCCTGAAGAAGAAATTGGAATTTACATGGCTGTACATACAACTCCCCCAGCAGCAGCCTAGAGTATTCTTCTGAAAACACAAAACCAAGGCCTACAGGAGCTGGCACTGCAGAACCTGAGCAGGAGTGGAGGGCTCTGGGGCCACATTCGAGCTAGCTGTGTCTAACCTCGCTTCGCCCAGTGGGGTTTACTAACACTGAAATATGCTTAACCTCTGCTCAACTTGGCAAATAAGGCAGAGTGGTGAGAGGAACGAAATAGTCCGACGGCTCAGCTCAACTGTCTCAATTTTGAAATTACCCTAATCTCGCAGCCCTGTCCTGCGTCACTACTCCTCTGAAGGTGAGGAGATTCTAAGTAAAACAATCATGTTGATGCCAAGAAGATGCAGGTGTCCATGCCAACCTGGGACTGGCCGACGAGGCATGCCCACCCTCTTCTCCCTGCCCTGGGCCTGGTACAGCCTGAAGAGTGATTGCTGGGCCCAGCTCACCAGACCAGCCGTGGGCTGAGAACAGTGGTATAACCTGTGGCTCACAATTCGCGTTTGTGAAGCTGCTAGGCTCATGCGGCATCTGCTCCTACAAACAGGGACGGCGCTTTGAGTGACTCCCAGGACCTAGTTCTGCCCACATACTCGGGCATCTAAAATCAAACAACCTCTGGACTTTTTATTTAAGTGAAATGTGTATTTTAGAATTGTAGGGCACATAATTATTACTTATGCCAATTCATATGATTATACAAACTAAAGTAATGGGGAGGGGGGATTTTTTTAAACTGGAGTAATTTTTTAAAAAGTGTCAACTGTTCGCTAAGAGGCCATGACCTAAAGCTTCCCTCGCCATTCCTAGCGCGAACCCCTTGGCCCCACGACAGGTCAGGTGGCTCCAGAGGAAAACCACTTACTTTAAGCACCGGAATCTCATCCTCCTTGTGCGCCACTAGCAGGGGTAAGCCAGCCAGCGTCTTCTCCAGGTCTTTGCCGAGAATCTTCACGCCCTGAGCTGCTTCCACCTCTTTGTGCTTCTCATACTGGTTCTGCAGAGACCAAAGCACGTTACCACAACCATCAGGAAAGTGCTCAGCACCAGGAGATGACGGAAGGGACAGTATTTCCATGATCTTGGGGTAAAGATTTCTTAAACTAGACGCAAAAAGCAACACACAAAAGGTTGATAAAATCGACAGTAAAATTAAGTAGTTCTGTTTCTCAAGCTGCCAGAAAAAGAGTAAAAAAAAGTTACAGAATAGGAAAAAATGATGCACTAGCTACCTACCAATCAGCCTGATACCCTGACTACTAAACAACTTGGAAATGTGCTAAGGAGAAACAATGCCAGGGCACAATAGGCATTTCACAAAGAAATTCAAATGGCTATAAACAAAATAATGGCCACGATGTTTCAATCAGGCAAGTCCGACCTGGAACAGCAAAGAGCTACACAGCCACCAGAATGGGAAAAACAGAAAGAAGAATCAGCATCGAGATCTGAAAGATGTAATGGACACAGGTGGGAGTGCAACATCACACTCACTGTGGACACTGGCCTTCCCTACTGAGGTGGAGCTAAGCCTAAGCAATGAGTCCGCCCTTCACTCCTATACACACCCTGGAGAAACCTGTGCAACTGCCCAGGAGACAATACGCCACGTTCATGAGTGTTGGCGATGAAATGTACAACTGGAGCCAGTCTGCGCTCTCCGTTACCAGGAGAACAAACTGACCACAATGTACTTGTGCAATGGCCCACCATACACAGCTAAGGGGAACCACAGTGCAGCAACACCCATAAATCTTTATTTTTTGGGTAAAAGCAGCAGGATGCAAAGGGAAAATGAGAATGACACGATGCATAGAAAGTCCGCACTTTTTAAGAGCGCATCCTCAGGTATGGAAGCTGTTAAGTTAGAGAGCAAGGGTACTCGTTACTGTCATGACAATGGAAGCACAGTCCCCTCTGGGGCAGAGGGAGCTGAGTCCAGGAGAGGCACACAGAAGGCTTCCAGGTGTCAGCAGCGCTCTTGTCTTTGATCTGGTTGTCTGCTTCCTAAAAACTTATTCAACTTTTCTGTATGAATGTTTTATTTAACAATAAAAGTGGTGATGAAAAATTACTTAGCAGTGTGCTTTAGTTTTTATCAAGAGCTTAGAAGCAAATAAGAAGATTCTGGTCCCTCCTATATGAAGACCTCTAACATAAAGTGGGGGAGGGGTGTGTGTGTGCATGCGCGTGTGCGTAGTGAGCCAAGTAGCACTCAAAGTGAGGAAGCGACCTCAGCAGTTTCCCAACACGAAAAGTCCCCACAGGTCACTGCTGATCACCACGGCTTACCTTCACTCTTAACTCCTTCATAGGTGGAGGCAACAGGAGGCCTCGGATCTGAGTTACGATGGGCCCTTCCACTCCGGGAACAATAATTGTATCTCCTTCTTTCAAACGTCCATTGATCAATATCACATCTATAGTGGTGCCCATTCCTGGGAGAGCCTTAACCTAAGAGACATGGTTGCAAAGTATAAGCTACAACGCGCCATGCTGATTAAATCTAACAGCAGTAAATATCCCCACGCAGGAACCTGCTATTAAAAATAAAAACAAAACAAAAAAATGATCACCTTCCAGGCAACCTTACCTCCATCACCTGTGCCCGCAGCTCTTCACAGTGGGCTAGCCTCTTGCTCAGCATGGTCTGCGTCAACTCGACGAGAAGGTAGATGAGGCTTCCCATTCCATCACCAGTATGTGCAGAGGTAGGTACCAAGGACACAAAAGTGCGGGGGTCTTTATTCTCATAAAACAAAGCTGCATTCAAACCCTAAAGACATAAAGCGCAAAATCACCCACAAGGCCAAGCTGTGGAGGGCCGTCCAGAACAGGAATGCTTAACCCAGCTAGAAGCTGAATGAGCAAATGGCTAACCCTGAAACCCCAGAAACACTCAAGGAAAAGTCATGCATATCCTGAGGCATCCATTATGTTTCAGAAAAAGTTTCTTCCCAAGTTAACTCAGTTTTTAAAATTTAAACATTAAAACTACCTAGAGATCTTTGAAATATGCACTTTCTCATTTACAAAGGAAAAGGTCTAAGGGGAAAGAATAAAAGTCATCAAGTGCCAGGAATAGGGGAACAGAACCAGTATTAGAGACAGACAAGGCCATGAAAGAAAACGCTGCTCCATGATGCAGCCTCTTCATAATGAGTGGACGGCTTTCTTACCTGCTGTGCAAATTCCACTATAATAGCCTTTGCTCGCTCCTCAAATTCATCCTTTGTGTTCTTTTTCTGCTTCTTTAAAGTGGCCGCCACATCGGACTCAGGGCTTTTTTTCCAATCATACAGCCTATCAATCTGGAAGAGTTTTTCACAGAAAACACTTAAAAAGGTTAATAAATGCTCCAGAAAATTCCTCGTGTTAATTATATTTACCCTTATTTTTGTGAATTACTCATTATTTTATTGCACCCAAAGCCCCTGACAAACTGCATCCCCTCCTAAATTAGAAACCGCTGATTCCTGAGAGGTGGCCATTTGTTTGCAAAAGATGAGATCCCAGAATGACCCAGCACCACCCCACATTGTTGGAATTCCAAAATGGCTTTGTATCAATAGCAGACAGGAACAAGGATCAATTACAGCAAATACCATCATCAGGAAAATTATATACCAAAAAAATTGAAAATAAAAAATAATTATTCCCAATCTCAGAGAATAGCCCATTTTAATTATTCTATTGCTCAAATTGGCCAAACCAGCTAGGGTAACACTATTTATATAGAATACAAAAAACACAAATTATAAGAGAATTTCTCATAAATTAGATTTTGTCAAGCCCTGGCCAAGTGGCTCAGTTGGTTGGAGCATGGTACAGTACACCAAAAGGTGAAGGTTCAATCGCCAGTCAGGGCACATACAAAGATTGCAGGTTTGATCCCCCGGGAGCATGTAGGAGGCAACCGATGGGTGTTTTTCTCTTTCTCTCTCCCTTCCCCTCTCTAAAATATAAAAAAATTCAAAATAGATTTTGTCAAAAATCAGAAATCTTTACTCAAAACACATGGTAAAGAAAATGAAAAAAACAAACAAGAAAACGCCAAGTCCTGACTACAAGAGTTACCTGCAGTACCCATAACTGACCAAGGATTTATAGCAACATTATGTAAGAAACTCTTAAAATTCAATACAACCCCTGACTGGTGTGGTTCAATGGTTAGAGTGACAGCACTGGAACACTGAAGGGCACACATCGGTGTTGTGGGTTCAGACCCAAAACACCGATATGTGCCCTTCAGTGTTCCAGCGCTGTCACTCTAACCATGGAAGACAAGCAGTCAATGTGTCTCTCTCTCTTTTTCTCTCCCCCTCCCTCCACCTTCTCTCCCACCCTTCCTTCCTCCTTCTCTGAAAATCAATGGAAAAAATATCTTCTGGTGAAGATTAACAACAGCAAAAAAATTTCAACACTAAAACAACACTGATAAAAAATGAGCAAAGGATTTTAAATAGATACTTCACAAAGAGAGAGGTGGCCAATAAGCACAGGAAAAGATGCTTGATGCCATCAGCCATCATGGAAATACAGATTTCACTCCACACTTATTAGGATGGCTACAAGTCAGCAACAGTGTGCAGGAACTGGAGCTCTTAAGCATTGTGGGCTAAAATGTAAAACAACTGGTACATCCCTTTGGGAAAAATGTGTCATTTTCTCACAAAGCTGAACATACATATAGCATATGACCCAGCAATTCTTGTGTACAAATGTTCACAGCTGCTTCATTAATAAATAACCTAAAATAGAACTAATCTAAATGTCCTTCAACAGGGAAATAAAATGTGGTATTATTCAGATAATAAAACGTTACTCAGAAATAAAAAGGAACAACCTATGAGATATGCAACTACATGGATAATCCTATTGTAATATGAATAATGAAAAATGCCAGACTGGAAAGATTACACAGTGTATATTTCCTTTAACGTGAATTTCTAAAACAGGTAGACTAGTCTATAGTGGCAGATCAGTCTCTGCTTGGAGTTGGAGATGGGGGCAGGCTAACTGTAGAAGAACATGAGGGAATGTTCTGGGAATACAAAAATGGTCTATATTGTGAATGGAGGTGGTTATGTGTGTGTGTGTAAATTTGTCATTCATTTTGAACTTACCATAAGTAGATTATATGAAAGTTATCTACACCAATAAAAGAGAAAAAATGGTAATTGGCGTACAATGCTACCCTTTTCATTGGCTAATCAGGGCTATATGCAAGTTAACTGCCAACAAGATGGCGGTTAATTTGCATATGTAGGCACAATGCAGGGAGGCGAAAGGGAAAGCGGGAAGAAGCCCCTTGCCACTGACAGTGATTGGAAACCCCGTGGGGAGCTAAGAGCCGGGGGGCAGGGAAAAGGGGACCTGGGGACCGCCTTTGCCCTGCCCCCCAGCCATGATCGGAGAACTGGGTGCCTTTGTCGCCCTGGCCAGTGATAGCAGGAAATAGGGGTGGAGCCAGTGATGGGAGCTGGGCAGGGTCGAAGCTGGCAGTCCCGGGAGCTAGGGGTCCCTTGCCTGGGCCTAAAGCGGAGCCCGTGATTGCGGGACCACTGCAGCAGCGGGTCCACACTGCCCAGGCTGGACGCCTCAGCCAGAGGCATCCTGCGGGGGCAGGGGCGGAGAGGCGTTAGGCCTGGGCAGGGGCAGAGTGGGAGATCACGTGGAGCTGGTGGTTCCCTGCCCAGGCCTAATGCCTTGGCCAGAGGCTTTAGGCCTGGGTAGGGGCGGAGCCTGCAACCGCGGGGAGCTGGCAGTCCCCTGCCCAGGCCTAACACCCCAGCCAGAGGCCTGAGGCCTGGGCAGGGGCTGAGCCGGGGATTGGTGTGAACTACAGAGGAAAAACCTTTTCTGACTGCTCATTGGCTGAGCTCCCTGTATGCCACTGGAAATATTCTTAGTAACTTGGGTAATAAGAATCCAAAAAGGTGATGTAGGGTTTTTCCACCTCCCTCCTGGAGAAAAAAACAAAGGTCTGCTGCTGGAGGGCTAAGAAATGTCATATCCTGCCCTAGCCGGTTTGGCTCAGTAGATAATGCCTTGGCCTGCCCACCGCAGGGTCTGGGTTCAATTCTGACCAAGGGCATGTACCTAGGTTTCAGGGTCCTCCCTGGCTGGGACCCAGGTCAGTTGTC